TACTCATGTATATAATATACTCATGTATATAATATACTCATGTATATTACGTTGGCAAAAAATCTACATAAAACAGTCACGATAACGGTACACCAACAGCACAGTTCAACGATTATTCCAATACTAAGAGGTATACGCCAAGGTGATGTTATATATATTATTATAATAAGCGAGAGAAAAAAATGGCTACGGTAATTACGCTGGGAACACAAAATTGTGAGAATGGCCGATAACTGCTTCCAACATTGGTAGAATTGCTTTTTAAATTGCTGTAAAACACAACTTACCCCGGTCTTGCTGGCCTTGGCGGCTTGGTCCCCGACTTAAGGTATCTCGGCTTAGCTTTGATGCGCATTACGCGGCCGGCGCCAATAGTGCCTTCGACCGTTGGCGGCATGGGTGTTACATTGTACGGCGCGTAAGGCGGGTATGCCCCCATTTTCCTTGGCATCTCGTCTAAATATAATGTAATTCTTTATCCGCCGCACAAAAAGAGTTATACGAATAAATAGGCGCAATTGCAACTACACCATACGAGACAGTTGCAATTACGCCTTGGGCAATTGCAATAATGGGGCAATAGTAGATTTTTTTTTACATTAAGTTACTAGCTAAGTTTTACTTTTTAATTAAAGATACGAGATAGTCAAGTTCACCGCGTCATACCAACCAATTAGGTACCTAATTATGGGGTAGGTAATTCCTTGGCAGGATCTGCAGTGTTTTACGCTGCAACCTTTTTTTTCTTTTCTTTTTTTTTCTTTTAACCTATGGCCTATGAAATCATTTTTATTTCTTGTCTTTTTCTGTTTGCTGTTGTCTATTTGTATCTCTTGAATGAGAAAACTACAACTTTATTAGTAAGTTGAGTTCCGGTTACGAAATCTTTGATTCATGCGATAAACGAATGGAGTAAACTCATGTGGAGTTTCGTACTTAAATGAAATCATAATATATATGATCAGTACCCAGAATTAGGAAACGAGACCACTTTGAAGAATACAACCACTCCCTTCCTTGGCAAGATCTAAATAAAGTCATTTGTGTGACAACACAAGTGCCAATTTTGATGGTAATTTATTGACACGTATATGAATGTAACTAGTGCAGGGTAATAGTTTTGAATACTCTACATCTATTTACGGGTTGACGGTTTACAGTCTGAAGCACGCATCCACTGGCATGGCACGGACATAAGCCTCTAATTAAGCACGCCAGTCCTGGTCCTGTGCCGCCCACATCCAGCCGTTGCCGGCCACCTTTCGTAGATCGTTCATACATCTTGCCGCAGGACGTCCGTAATGTACATATTTCTTGACGTGGTTGCCTCTCTAGAATAAGTCTGTTTCATCGGAGGACCCACTGCCACATAAGCTTACTGATTTTGCGAGCTATGTCGGTCATTTTAGATCTCTGACGTATGACTTCATTAGGTATTCGGTCCATCAGAGAAACTACAAGTATATCTCGCTCCATAGCACTTCGAGCGACTTTAAATTTGTGGATGAGGCTTGTTGTTAATGTCCACGCGTAGGCTACGTAGAGTACCTATAACTGCACTGGTAGAATGTACTGGTTAAATGCCTTTGTTTTTATACTTTGTGAGATTGACAACCTGAAACATTGTGGCTCAGCTTTCCGAATGCCGTCCAGCCCAAAATGAATTCTCCTGTCGGCTTGCTTCTCAAAGTTATACCTGCCAAACTGGGTATTTGGGCCAAAACTATGCACAACTTTAAGTGTACCACCGACGGTTACAGGTCCCGGGGTCACGTGTGTTTAACGCACATGTGACCGTGGGATCTGTTACCAGAACTGTATTTAGGACCTGGAACTTTCGTTTTGTCCAAGTTCATACCGAGACTTACTCGCTGAGATTATGCTATTATTACAATATCATCTGAAAATCTAAGATGTGAGATGTACTGCTCGTTGATATTGATACCTCGTCCCTCTCACTCCAGCATCTTGAAGACTCCCTGTCTCAATTACAATTCTCGAGAACAGCTTGGATACATAAATAAGGAGCGAGATGGGACGGTAGTATCTCAAAAGGGTCTTGGGCCCCTTTTTGAAAAACCGGACCACCCCAATCTCGCTGCATGTTTCTGGTATAGTACCTACCAGTGTAAAAAACGGGGTTAAAAAAGCTTGGCTAGGTCCTTTAATAAGGTAGTTCCGCCAACTTTAATGAGCTCTGTTGTTACTCTGTCCTCTCCCGGCGCTTTTGCTTTTTTTTTAAATTTATTTTTCAAAAAGTATACATTTTACAGAAGATAATCTCCTGGCGAACTAGAAACACGCACGCTCTTACACAATTTATAGATCTACTTAATGATTAAAGATTTACTAATGATTAACGAAGTACCTAGCAGTGAGAAGGTACTTCCCATGTAGGTCAGACTTACTTATTAACCCTATGCACGCGCCGACGACGCGACGGCACGACAAAAACTAATTGAAATTAACAAACAAAACTAAAATTAAAATTATCTCTTATTAACGCGACTTCAGCGCGTTTGCGGCGCGTATACGCGCAGATGACACGCATTTACGATTTGTAAAACGCGCACTCGACGTTGGCGCGTACAAAATACGCAGTGTGCATATAATATATAAGAAATTCAAGTTCATCCTTACAGCAACAAAATAATTGTTTCAAAATTTTGCGTTTGCGGCGTGTATACGCGCAGATGACACGCATTTACGGTTTGTAAACGCGTGCGTTTGTAAAACGCGCGCTCGTCGTTGGCGCGTACAAAATACGCAGTGTGCATATAATATATAAGAAATTCAAGTTCATCCTTACAGCAACAAAATAATTGTTTCAAATGTTTTTTTATCGGAATTTCATTCTAATTTGTTGTTCTTAAGCTGTCCGAGTGCTATCCTATTCTCAAACCTCTTCGATGTCGGAAAGCTCATTCGAGTGGTGACGAGTCAATTGGGCTCTCAGATTGTTAGGTATCTCTGGTCTGAATCTTTTCTGGGCAGGTATAAGTCCGTGTAGAATTTTCTCGTATCGAAACGACTGTGTTTCCCTAACCTGTTGCCAGCTATGTCAGGTAACATCTACTTAGCGATGGAAGATTTTGAGAAGACTATGAAGCTTTTGTTATTTTTTACGGCTTATTTTAATTGTAATAGTATAAAATATACATTGATAAATTTAATGTCCTCTGTCTTCCCGTCCGCCGGTTTGCGCTGACCCTTATTAGTCCTTTTCTTTTTTTTAAACTTTTTATAACATCAAGTGACGGGACAAACAAGTCGTGTGCCTGATGGTAAGCCACACGCCTGTCCATAACAGTTGCAGTGCCACTCTGAACTTTAAATTACAAAGATCTGAGAGACACTACCACTGTGCCCGTTACCCTGAGACATAAGTTGACAAGTCCCATGTGCCTGTAATTTCACCAGCACCCTTACCCTTCAAAACCGTAACACAGTAATGCTGATATTACTGCTTGGCGGCAGAAATAGGCAAGGTGCTACCCCGGACGAACTCTTTCACAAGGAGCTCTATTGCTACCAAAATCCCTTCATGAGTCAGTGACTGCTGTTAAGGCTGTTTTCTGATTTGTCGGTGAGGTAGTGGCGCGACATCAGTATGCTCGTGACCGTAAGGATACTGTTAACGCCTTCATCGTGTCGGTATGTTCTCGGTATAAAATTCTGCAGTATGCCGCTTGTGAGACCATGTCATCCTCGAGTGATGAAGACATTTTGGCGTGTTATATAGTCTCTGAATACTCTGCTAGTCTTTAATTATCTACGATACTGGATACTTTAGTACTTCTCGACAACACTTTATAACCAAGTTGGTGTTTTAAGCAGTTTTAGTTATTACTTCTAATTAATTTACGGCAAAACCCGATAATAGACTAAATTTAAAATAAAACGTATACATATATAAATAATAACACGTTGTGTAACACACGTTTTAATGATATTATTTCACAATATTATAACGCTAGCCTGTCAAGTATGACCCGCTTTTAGACCTTCTGCGTAGTTGTTGCAGTGTTGGCCCTCGCGTTTTCGTAACATAAAGAAGTGAATTCTCAAACAAAAATCTTTCAAAAATTGAAAAAAAATTTGCAATGTGCACAAACGTTCTGTACACTTCCTTGAATAACGGAGAAAACAAATATATGATAACGCTTACCGTCCATTCTGAAAACTTTCTTTCAACAAACTTTAGAAACAGTCTTTGATACAGCTTTTTAAGATTTCAGAATAAAAGTTTTACAGATTTCTTTTCTTGACCTAGCATTTTCGACTTGTTGTAGACTTTGACACAGAATGTACTGAATTCTTTTGTTCTGTCATTAATTTGTATTATTTTGTAATCTCTTTGTAAGAAAAAGATTTAGTTTTCCTAAGAAATAATTTTTTTACGTATTAAAGCATGTATTTAAATGATCTTTTTAAATTTGCAAAAGCAGGAGCAGACAAAAATATCTAAACGGTCATTCATTTTAATCATTGATCTTCTATCTCTAAGACATAAAATAAACTAAATCGATAAATATTTTAATCTATACTTTTATGTTGGGTCTCAAAATTAAGACAAAATGAGCATTAAAAACAAAATTTAGATACTTATTTTTAAAACAAAGTAAATCCGGAAAAATAGTTTCATTTCCTAAAAGTAAATGTTGATTATATTTGAATAATAATATGATTTGACCTGAAAACATGTTCGGAAACGCAAGCAAATTGGCTTCTTGCTGATGCTTTTTCATATACTTCTATGGATTTGTTATGTCTGAAATAAATGCTTTTTATTATTATGTACTAACCTAACCTACTGAATGGATGGCGCAACCAAGATTTATTAGGAGATCAATATCAAAATATATACTGGTTAAAAATGTCATCAATCGTTAAAAGAAAAGACCAATGGTAAAAAAAGAGAATCAAATATTATTTTCAATACCAAATATTAATTTAGTATGCTTAAACGTAATAATAGTGTTACTTTGAATGCAATTCATTTATATTTATACGTAGATCAACTAATATAGGTGGAACAGTTAATATGTACATCAAACATAAAAAAAATATCGTTTATTAAAAAAAGTACATATTATCAATAGATCAATTATTTTTTTGAAGATCCAATAATATTATCCCTTTATTTAATAATCATTCTACGTTGGAAATAATGCTTTTTTATAAGTGTTCAAGACCCAAATATAATTTTTTAAATTAGGTTTTTTACAATTTAATATAGATTTTTCGTTTTCAAATACAAAATGAAAATAAATTGCAAGGACTTAAATAGATATTGTCAGAAACGTAACAGAAAAAACGAACGCAAGTTTGGCGAATCCTCCTCCACACTTACATTCGCTTAAATATTTCTAGTAAATTTAAATTCTAGTAGTTTCACAATAAGATTCCGGAGCATATATTAAGTTTACAATTTCCTAAGTTTAAAACTAACATTAAAAGTATTTTAATTGAAAAGTCATGTTACAAAATTGTAGACTACGTGTTAGATAAAGATGTATGGAAAGACAACCTGAGTCTAGACTCCACACAAATATGATTCAAAATGTATTCTATTGCTAGAGTTTCTTGCTTGATCTTCTCAGGGAGGTCAGCGTAGCGAACGAGTAGTAGCTTTAAAAAATGACTTTTTCAAGCATTGACCTTTTGTTGGTAGGTCAATGTTTTCAAGTGTAAAAATTTCACCTATGGAATAAGTGATTATTTGACTTGACTGGACTTTGGATGGAAAAAACATGCTTAATCTTAATTAAGCATATTTTTCCATTCTCTAAGATGTAATGTAATAAAAAAGATTGACATCATATCCGGAGATTGGAAAAGGCATTGGATAGGGCATTGTAGGCATTTATTAAAGCACTAAAAGCTTGGCTTTCAAATTGAGTAAGAAGATTACTATGCTTAATTATATGGGTACCAATACAGAAAAGAAAAATTGTTTATACTGAGGTACCAAAAATTAACAAAATCCAAACTTTAACACCATGTCCTTATTTATTTATTTTTTTATACGAAGTCAAAGTCAAATCCTTTATTTGCTAGAATACATTTAACAAGTTCTTATTATATAATTATTAACAGTAAACCTATACAGATCTATGACATAGACATGCAAATGTATGGCTTGAATGTTGAAACTGATTTTTAATAATTGTAATAATTACATTCTTGCTTTGATTACAGTAAACT